CCACTCGTCTCTCTCAATGGCTTCTATGATTCCTTTACCTTCTGTCCCTATGCTCCTCCCCATGCCTTGCCTTAACACTATCTAGAGTACCATGATGGTACACTCTGCCCAGATTCTTCAGGGATAAAAGACCATCTCATCTCATCTAAACCCAACCTCAGTGAAAATATCACTGCCCAACAGTCAGTAGCCAAATCCCCCCTCCTCTGGGGTTTCCAGAGTCTAAGGTAAGGTCTGCCTCCTTCTAGGGATGCCCTGTGGGCAGTAATTGGGCAATATAGTCTGCAAAGGCCTTTCTTCAATTTACGACAACACTAAAATACCATCCCACCCCCCAGAACTCTCCATAGCATCAGACAAAGCCTCAGTGTGAGTTGGAACCAGGTAGCTTTTTCCATTTTTCCCATGATCTAATTTTTCCTACTGCTACATAGGACCATGTGCTCTGAGAATCCCTAACGAAGCGATTCAGAACTCTTTATCCCAAAGTTGGGGGAAGCAACTAAGATAATCAACGGCAGAAGTGAGTGGCCGGAGGAGGGACAGAACAAAGGATTGGGGAATGGATCAATAGTCAGTCAGTCGGCAAGATCGCGGTAGGCATGCATTAGTGCGCACTACTGAGAGGTCCCTTGGGTAAACTAGCACTGATAGCTGGTGGAGGGCCTCACTGGCTGCTCTTAAAAGTTATGAGGAACAGAGTGGACACGGGGACTCTGGGACTGGATACCTATTTCAAATGACATTTATTTGTTGAGATAATAAAAGATTCAGAATGATTAGTCACTGATTTTATGCAAAAAGTGATGACCGTAAATAGGGTCTCTTTGGCAACAATTTATTAACCCCTAGTTTACTACACTCAAAAGGAGGTCTTGGTTGTATGAGAAATACATACTCAGAGAAATTTGCTTCCTCAGCCCTTGGAAGGATCTTATGCCTGTGTGAAGACCCTCATATGTCTCATAAACTGGGGAGGAGTCTGTGAGTCTATCCAATGGAGAATCTTATACTATCAGATTCCACTAAATCAGGTAGACCTGTTTGTTGGTTTGTTTCCATCCCTGCTGTTAGTTGTCTGACTAGCTAGATAGTCCTGTGTCCATTTCCTATGGACTGAAACATTACCTCCTAGAGAGAAGAAAGTTTATGATGAAAGGTTTATGGTTGTCAGTGGAGACCACCACCTATCTCCAACTGGGTGCTTGTCATGTCCTCCCTTCAAGAATGAAGTGGGCAAACAGAGGAACGTTCTAATGCGAGCCACTATATGCCTCACTCAGATTAACAATCTAAAACTGGTTAGAAAATTTTGAACAGATTGCCATGCAGATTGGACAATTTCAGCAGAACAAGTTTGAACTCAGTAACAGCAGGATGCTAGCTAAGGGCTGTCACAGCTCTGAGAAGATGTCATCTGAGGGCAAGTCTGCAGAACACAGCAAGGGGGAAGGACGGGTCACTTGTCCTGGGCAGCTCTCAAAGGCCAGAAACAGCTGGAGAAGCATGGAGTTGTGTGGTACTGAGGCAGGACAAATTTACGTGCAGGTATTGATCAAGTTCTGAAGTCTTGCAGCAAGTATTGATTAAGTCCTGAAGGCTGGCTCAATCAAACCCCTGACTGGGAGAAGACTCAGGTGGGGGAGCCTTGTCCATCTCTGGCAAGTCTTGAAAGCCATCTCCCTTCTCTTCCTCCTCTGTCGGCTTTCAGTGCTTCCTTCACACTGAAGGATGTTCAAATTTATTCAGAACCAGGTGGGTGCTTATTGGTTGAGTTTGGGTGTGCAAATACGGTGGAAAAAACAGGACCAACTAAGGAAGAGCTGTCAAAAAAGTTAGTCTATCCCAGGTACTACTGTGATTTTTGCAGGCTATTACCTGATGCTTCCTACATTCAAGGATCTGGTTGTCAATTTTAGACAGTGGGGCTTTCATTCAACAAGGAATATTTGTTCTTTTGGTTTGTTTGTTTGTTTGTTTTTGTTGCTCTCTGGCCTTGAGTTTGGAGCTGGAATTCTCTTCCTTTCAGAGCCCTGCCTCAAGTGGACAGCAACATCAGGAAGGCAAGGGCTCATACCTCTATCAACAAAACTTGGAGTCTATAACATAGGACCCCTGGGAAGCTCAGATAGATACAAAACCCATGAGGAACCTCTCCAAGATTATATCGACAGAAAACACTTTCTGGGGACTAGGAGATTCTTCAGTGGAGCTGTGTGAGCACTGAGCAGGCAGCTCCAGAAATACCGTTTTCCTTACTCATCACCTATATTGAAGTGTGCTGTTCAGTGATGTAGTTACACAAGAGTCACCCATTCTCTTATAATAACTCCCTGTCCATGTCCCTGTACGTAACCCAAAATAAACTCATCAGTTTACCAGGCTAGAAAGGAATAGAATAGTTTTTTTTTGGTGTGTAATTAGCACTCGGGGTGAGGTGAACAGACATTTGTTCATGTCTCTTGAGGAAAAATCACATATCACAGGAGAATAGGAGGAGAACACAGAGAAAATGTGGTGACACCCAGGGATAAAAAGCACAGGAATGATGGGGTCCTGCTGGGTCAAAGAACAGGAGTTGAATATTAAGATAAAACCAGGCGATGGTGGGGCAAGCCTTTAATCCCAGCAGAGGCAGAGACAGGTGGATCTCTGTGAGTTCAAGGCCAGCACGGTCTACAAGACCTAGTTCTGGGACAGGATTCAAAGCTACAGAGAAACCATGCCTAGAATAAAAAACGATAAAAAAAAAAGATAAGGGGTATTTTTCCAACAGAAAAGCAGTGTCTTGGTTTGGTTCTAGGGCAAATGCCTCAGGGATGGTGATAACCTGCTAGGATAATTCTAGGAGAGCATGAAAGCTACAATCCAGATTAATGAAATAGAAATAGAGACTTCCATTCTGTGTAATGGTGTAATGCAGAAAAGGATTTGAAGACCCAGTGAATTAAGCATGCTAACATGGATCCAAAAACAAGGAAATAAATTTTAAAATTGAAGAAGCAAAACCATCATTAACAACAACCAAATTCAGCTGACTACGTTCTTAGGAAGGCCTCAGAGTCTGTGCTGTTGTAACTAGACGCCAGCAGACACAAGATTAGCAAAATTCCGAAAGAACACAACCCAGGCATTAATGCTTAGCTTTTAGATGTAATGTAAACATAGTTTTTTGCAAACGCATAGTAGAATCATAGTGGCTCTCAGAGTAATCCAATCCTAATCTGGGAGTGATTGAAAGAATCTGATGTTTCTGGAGGCAAATTGCTAGTGTTTCTAGATGGGCTACTATGACGAGTATTGCTAATAAAAACATCAGTGATGGTAAGACGTGGAAGGATAAAGCTGCAAGCCTTTCCCAGTTTCCAGGTCAGACTTGGAATGAATGTATTAGCTGAAGGAGTGGTGACTCCCTCTGAATTAAGATCCTACATTACCAGGGCGACTCTATGCGTTTATTCTCTCGCCTCTCCTTAACCTAAGAACATTGCACCACACATGCTTCAGAGAAAAGGGAGAACACTTGATGCTTTTGAGAATTTTTTTTTTCACCACTGGATTGTAATTGACACTAACTCCTAAAGACTGAATGAACCATCCTGGCCACCTATTAATATGGAATCTGTAGCAGCTACACTAATCAAAGCTAAAGACTAGTTTTTGGTGGCCCACTGCTGGGAGAGCCAGTCCTTGGAGAAACCTATTGATCCATTATCTCCTCTCCAAATATAAAATGAGAAAGGATACCCTTGGAGGTTTGAAGACACCTCATATTGGTTCTTTGACCTCAGGTAAGTACTCTTATCATGGTGAGTGGCAAGCAGAAACTCTGAAACTGTCCCATCCCAGCAAAAAGAGAAGTGGAGGGGCCGGGGGTGAACAAAATGCTGAAATGTTTTAAATCTCCTTGGCCCCTATGCAACCGTATGTATTTCACATGTTGCCCCCTGCAAAGACAGCAGATGCTGGGAGATTGCAGTACAACACTAGAAGTGCTCACTGTCATAGTAGTAAGTAGGATTTTTGCCATACCTATCAGCAAGAGAACAAGGTGAAATCTACTCCCCTATGGGATGGATACCCATTTTGTTTATTCTGTTGCCAGTTGTCAGAATACAGCCCAGGAAACCTGGATTTTAGTAACATTCTGTCTTACACAATAATATCTTATGACAGTGCTAGCTGAGAAATATGGGTCAAATATGCATATACAGGAAATCTTGATAAGTACTTACACAATGTAGTTTACAGTCTGACTGGTTGTGCTTATGAGGATTCCGGACAGCTTTGTTACTAGACAGAATGAAATAGATATACTTTCCCTCTCCCATCCGGTAAATTCTCTTGATACCACACATATGCATTCAATCCAAGACAGCCCTACAGGGTGGCTGAAAGAAGATGGACTGACTGGGGAATCTCAGGATTTAAAGAATGATAAAGCCTTGGAATTGCTGGGGTTTTGTTTGCTTGTCTACATTCTAGATTGAAATGTAGAAAAACCCACAGAGGCTCTGGGGGCTCACACAGTTCATCATTGGTCACATGACTGGGTTGCCTGCTGTCTTTGAGAAGCTGTAGCCAAGGAGCTGGTAAGGGAGATTAGGGGTGGGTTTAAGTAAGATTCAGAGGATAGCCTGAAGATCAACAAGCATTTATGATCAGATCTTATCATTATCTCCCAGGCAAACAATAGTCAATGGTAGTAGCTCAGTTGTTCATTAAGTAAACTTTCTAGAAGTACTTACATCCCTGAGTTGTTCACTCCGTAGCAACAGTTCCTTTTCTTTGACTGTGCAACCTAAGAATCAGCCAGCCAACTACAGAAACAAGTCACTTGGAATGACATTGATCAAAGTAGACTCTTCTTATTTAAAAAAACTAAGATGAATTAGTATCATCTTATTAATAATTGTCATCAATTATTGTCACATTGAATTTGATTCAGTAAAAGTCTATACAGGGAAGCACACACATGCAATTTTATTAAGATTTTTACGTTTTATTGATCATTGCATTTCTTAAATGGCAGATAATTCAACTTGCAGGAAAATGACAACACTGTGAAACTGAGACGTGTTTAAATTAGAAATGTTGAATTCTGTGGAAAGTCAACGGAAAATTAAGCAAAACTCAGCACAGTTTCTGGCTTATGTAAGACACGAGTGTGGCGCACTGGCTACAAGAGAGACGACGAGACTTACAGTGGACTTCTGCTGCATCAGTCTCTCAAAGCTTCCTCATTTCTCATTCCAGGAGCACTGTGAGTACATTCTATGTTCAGCTGGTGGGTGATTTGGAAGAGGCTAGGTGCTCCTGTAGACTGGGACGGAGAGCCATCCCCACCAATTCTGTTTGCTCAATGCTTCTTTCCAATTCTCCTAGAAGATCCCAAACCCCCAAGGACAGTTTGTGACATGGGCCAGTGGTGAACTCCCAGAGGCTGGAACATTCTGAGTGCACCAAGATCCCTTGCTACCCAAGGACACAAGTGCAGAATTCAGCTTTTATGGCACATGACACCAGGATCACATATAATCCCAAAGTACCTTTACTGGTTCTATAACTTAATAGTATACCTATAAAATAATTACATTATACTTATAGCTTTTCTTCATTTATAAACAAGACAAAATTTAAATACAATTTGAGCCACTCGAAGGTAAACATTATACATACAATAACCCCAGAAGTAGCCTCAGACCACAGCATGTCATATAGCTTTCATGGGTACAACCATGACTAAGATCAAAAAGAGTGCTAACATGTGTACTTTGTGGGTTGCTAGCTCAACTCTTCCTCTACTTGTGTGGGTCCTGTTAATAAAATGATATGGGCTGGCTTTGCAGCTGGGTGTGAGACTCTTCTTCTCTCCCTTCTTGTTCTACTTCATCATCCTCCATTAAGGAAACTCGGATGTCCTTCACAGCTTTCCTGCTGCATGTTCTGCTCTGGCTCTAGCTTGAGGTTTTCTACTCAAAGTGAAAACTGCAGCTCTGACCTTGGGCGCCCTTTTCTCTTTTTGCCTTCATCCCAGGGGTCCCAGCCCTCTACAATTTCTCCATTCTCATCTCTCTCTCCAGATTTCAGGCTATGAGCTCTCATTTCTGAAGTTAACATTCCCATCAAAACCACACCGGCTGGGCTTAGGGTTTACTGGGTTGCAGAAGTAAATAAACTCAAAAACATGCATTCTGACTCAGGTAAGAGAGTACCTGAAACACCCTACCCCACTCGCCCCAGTCCTTTGCTCTGGGTGGCCAACTAGAGAGCCAGCATCATTATTGAGTGTCCAGAAGCCTGAATCTCAGAGCAGCTAACGGATGGTCTCTCTCACACATGAGGAAACCCACTCTTGTGCAAGAGCTTGCACTGAGAATTGGCCAACCAAAGGAGGTTAACATATTCTGAGCCCCAGCAATGGCTTCTCCTTCACATTTGTCAGATTCCATACACGTCATTCACAGGGACAATTGCACAAAGAGATTGAACGTGAGTGTAATGTTGGAGGAAAATAGATTATTTCAATGTCCTCTCATCAAAGGCCACACTACAGAGACTTCCACAACTCATCACAAAGTCGAAGGGTGACCTAAGGTATTCGTAGAAGTCTAGTCTTTGGAAAGGAAGCTATTTTCTGAGCGACAGTTCAGCTACATTACTACCCTCTATGTGTACTTTTTATGTCTGCCTGTGCCACCAAGTGTCTCAATCCCATATATCCTTAAATGAATTTTAATAGAAAATATTTTTTGCTTAGTGCTATGGCAGTGAAGACAGTACCAGGTCTCATTTCACGTGTGTGCCTCAAGCGTTACCACTTCCCAATGACTCGCCTGGATACACCATCTGTCCTAGCCCAGTTTCTACACTATGCTGCAATGCTTTAGTGTCTCAGTGATGTCCTACTCATGTGTGTAAATGGTGACATGTCCCTCCTCCCCGCTCAATCTGATAAAAGGTGTGTGGCAGTGAATTGCTGACCTGGCAGTATTTCTCGGTAAAATACCTTTTCTACAGCTCACTCCCTGTGATACTGTCTATTCAAGAATGGTGCTGCAAAGCCAGAGTCCAAACATGTGAGTCGATACAGGGATAGGTCGATAATACTTTTAACAGCTTTTTACACAATAGATCAATTATAGAACTGACATTAACACAGAGACCTTTTGCGTGGGGACAGGCTAATGGAAGAGCATGTGCACCAGAGTTCATCTTGAGTCCACAGGTGAGGGCTAGAAGGAACAAGAAAAGAGGTGGTGGTGTCTAGAGGTGCAGAGGGTCTGGCCTGCTGAGCACAGTTCCTAGGGAAGTCATTTCCTGATCCACTAAGCTTGCCTTGTCCTTGTGGGTATCAGGTTTGTTTGGAGACCCCTTGAGGGTGAGCTTGTGGATGCTGCCCATATTGACTTCACAGCAACCTCAGAGCCCGGAAGCTCCCAGCTCAGAAGAGTGAATGCCCACACCACAGAGGTCTGGTGGCCAACGGAAGTCGAAGTTTGCGACAGAGTAGTGGTGCGTTCTTCACCAAGGGAGGGTAGAGCTGGAGTGTAGGATGTGGCCAGGGAAAGGCTGGCTTTTCCACATGGTGGAAACGTCAATCCCCGATTGACAGTGCATCGCCTAAAAAGTCCTGTCTAGTTTCTGAGAGTGTTTTCCAACATCTTCTGTGCCCGATCCACAGCCTGGATTTGGAGACACGAGTATAGCCCGGGGTGGATCTGGAACATATCGACTTGCGGTCCACATTTGTGACAAGGGCACTGTTAGCCCTAAGAGATGCATTTGCTGCTGATAGGGACACCGGGCATAGTGTGAGTGAGCTCGACAGAAGTGGCGGTGGCGAGACCCAGGGGCAAGGGCTCTCAGGGTGGAGCTGCATCTTGCCCTGGTGACTTCACTGCTTGTCAGAGTCACTCAGGTTCACGGACATACACCGGCAATGCTTCACCTTCTGGATTTTTTTGATTCGGAAAGGTGGGTCGAGCCCGGGGCATTCGAGCTCCACGATGACGGAGGTGACGCGCTGGGGCTTGCAGAAGGCGCAGGACTGGAAGGAGTCCTCCTCCTTCTTCACGTGCCGCGGGATGTAGAAGGAGTTGCACTGGCCATAGCAGAAGCGGTTGAGGATGGTGCGGCTGCGGCAGCCCTCCTCGCTCACGGTCTGCCGCAGTGGCTGCGTCTTGCACCAGTCACTCTTAAGGTACTTGCGCTCAGTGACCACGAGGGCCTCCTGGCTGGAGGCCAGCACCTCCTTGATCTGGTGATGCCATCTCTCTGAGTTGTTGCTGCTGCCATCCTTGTACGGTGAAGGGATGGCGCCCGCAGGCCGGTTCTTCCGGGCTTCAGCAACCTTTACCAGCACAGCCACGAGGAGCAAGGTCAGCGAGAGCTTCCAGAACATCCTGCCAAGAGAAAACAGTTGGTTGACAAGGGTTATCTAAAGACCATCCATCTTTTTCTCTCAGTGTTTATGGTTGGATACCCAGAGACATAGAAGTCTGACATGATTAAACAGTACCATGGGAGGCAGCTGTGACTCTCATACACGGTACCCAACAGCAAGCACGCGACAGCACTATTAGGAGAAGGCAGTGTTGTGGTTTGAATGGGAAGCATCCTTCATAGCTCACGTTGTTTGAACACTTCCGTCCCAGCTGGTAAGACCTCGCTGGTGGAAGTGAGTCACTGAAGGACAGCCGGTGCTACTTCCTGGCTGCTCTTTCCTTCCTCACTGCTCAAGAACCCTCCTTATGTTCCTGATACCATACCTTCCCCGTAGAGGCAGGCCCTATCCCTTCTTACACTGTAAGGCAAAACTAATCATTCCTCCCTTAACAGATGGCTAAGTCAGGTATTTTTGTCGCAGCAACAAGAAAAATATCAGTGATACAGTAGTATCAGTTGAATGATTTCAGAAAAATTAGAGCCAAGAAAAAGATGGATGGTCTTTAGATAACCCTTGTTAATGATACAGTAGATACAGTTGAATGATTTCAGAAAAATTAGAGCCAGTAGTGTTGATGTAGCCCAAAGCCAAGGTGCAGTAGTAGCAATAACAGCACCCAGCATTGACCCTACAGGTGTGCACAGTGTGGGTTATTGCTGGCTTAACTGCTTGGCATTTGAGCCTCTTCCCAGCTCATTTGAGCCCTGAAACAGCCTTAGACTCTACCTACTGTCGATCCCCAACTGAGGCCGTCAGAAGTTGAGTCCTTTGGTCCCAGAATGCATTTTTCAAATTCTAAGCTCATACAGGCATTTACTATAATTTATTGGTACTCAAGATATAGCCGGTTTTCTTTTTCCTTTTATATGTAAATGTAACTAGTAATCAGAGTTGCATTAAGTAGGTATGACTGCTTTTCCAATTTCATGGATGAGGAAATAGGCGGGAAAAACCTATACAACTTGCCAAAATCACAAGGCCTATATATGAAATAATTGAATCTAGGCATCCCAGCTCTGTACCCTTGGCTTCCATGAATGTAGCTATCTCTCTCTTATCAAGTAATGTTAAAATGCCTGTGCTAAATTCCCGTGTATATCGTTGTTACTAGTCCAGGTCTAAGTGACAAGTGGCTTTGTACATCATCCCAGAGATGATTCTTTCTGTCATCAAGTATTTCTGGAGACTGGATCCTAGCATAAACACTATCACAAGCTTTGTCAATACCAGTATTTTACTCTTACAGTTGTGTGGCCAAATATCCCCCAAGTTCCAGTGCCCCGGAGTTTGCATATGGAGGATCCTTTAAGAGGTAAAACCTGCTAGGAAGCCTTTACGTCATTGTGAATATATCCTTGAGAGAGTGTGGGACCAGTGCCTCTTCTCCTTTTTTCCTTTCTCCTTCTTCTTCTCCCCCTCTCTCTAACTGATTTTTTTGACATCCTAACTGCAGTTTCCCCTCCTTCCTCTCTTCCCAGTACCCCGTCCCCTCTGCATCCCCCCATCCTATCCACTCCTTCTCCATTTCTATTCAGAAAAGTGCAGGTCTCCCATGGATATTGACAAAACATGGCATATCAAGTTGTAGTAAGACTAAGCACCTGACCTTGTATTAAGGCTGGACAAGGCAGCCCAGTATGAGGAATGCGTTCCAAAAATCCAGCAAAAGTCAAAGACAGCCCCTGCTACCACTGTTAGGAGTTCCCAAGAAGACAAAGCTACACAACTGTCAGATATATGCAGAGGGGCTAGGTTGGTCCCGTGCAGGCTCCAGAGGAGCATCTGAACCCCAGAGGACCCCTAGCCAGATCAGAGGCCATGCCCATACATAGCCAGAACTTCAGTCCTAAACTTGTGCATCAACCCCCCTGTGGACCAGAGTCCATCCAGGACATCAGAAGTCCACCCCCACCCCAACATGGACAGAGACCCTGTCTCTACTCAACCACAGGCCATGAGATCCAGAAGACCAGAGAGGAAACAGAAACTAAGGAGGAAAACACCCACCCAACAAAAACAAATCCAGAAACTGGCACCTAGACCTACAATTACTCCAAATCCAGAGGCCTAAACCTAAGTATAAAAACACAAACAACAACAGCCAGGGCAGAACTCGGTCCTCCCACTACAACAAGCCAGCTTCTCTCTTCTGTTTCTGGGCTGCAATGGAGTGAGCAGCATTCTCTGCCACAAACTCAACCCTCCCTGGATCTGGCACTTTTCACGGATCTGTGTACGAACTAAAACCTTTAAAACTATGAGCTTTCATCTTTTTCCGTTATCTCACGTGCTTTCTTTCAGTAAAGGAAAACTGGCTAATGAGGAAACTCATGGCCACAGGGGATGTGACCGTATAAAGAACATGTATCTATTGTGCTAGGTCATTTGAAGTCTGGAAAGGATGAGCTGAGGAGATGGATTAATAAGTAAGGTGCTCCCTGTGAAAGCATGAAGACCTAAGGCTAGATTCCCCAGAAGTCCTGTGAAGAAAAGCCTGGCGTGGAAACACACCTGTGATTCCAGGTTGGGAGGCAGAGAGAGAGAGAGAGAGAGAGAGAGAGAGAGAGAGAGAGAGAGCGAGCAGGAACCGGGGCTTGCTGTCTAGCCAATCTAGCTAATCACTCAGTCCCAGGTTCAGAGAGATCCATTGTCCTGGTGGTGGCGTTACCAGAAACACTGACTAACGTTAGAGAATGCAGGTGACGTTGACCAACAGGAAGAAACACTGAAGAACTGAGAGGGGGGAAGGGATTTGCTTTTTCCGGTTATAAAAACATTCGTACAGCACAATTTTCAACTTCGAAGTCCAAGCTTCTTTTAAGGGCTCTTCTCACGCCTCTTTGGTTCCGCACATGAGGTGTCATATGAAAATGGCCACACTTCCAGCAGACCCATGGCAAGAGTTGAGACTTGGATCCGCTCAGCTCTTGTATCTGTGGAGTGATTTGCGATCTCAATGGCCTCTTAAAAGGCGAGTCTTTTGGTTCTACTTTAATAATTTCCAAAATTATTAACATTCTAAGTAAACTAAAACCAAAAGTTTTCAAGTCTCAGCCAGGAAAGATTTATGGCCGGCCTAGTCCTCCCCTGCTAGCTCCAACAACAGCTTATGGTGGACTCTTGGTAGGCTCAAACTACAAGCTCTCTCCTTCAGCAGCTTCTAACTGTTGTCAAGGAGAAGAGAGCTGAAACATGCTCAGATCAATCTGGGGCAGAAACTCTTCGTGTGAACAATATTCGATGTGGTGATTAGTAACAGGCGCTCTTTGAACACTTTAAAAGGGCATGCAAACATCTGGCATCCATCCCTGGAAGCTGTGTCTCCCAAGAACTAAGGAAGTAAAGCGAACTTCCAATTTTGAGGAAAGGCAAAGATACTGATGAAATCTACCCAACTGGGGCCAAGTCTGCCTCTCCTCTCCAGCCCAGCTCCCCGCCCCCTGCTATATACCTCATTTCTCCTTTATATGTAGCGAAAAGAATCTGGCCAAGGACCTGGCATCTCAGTGCCAGAACAGGTAAGCCAGTTGTGAACCCGTTTGGCTAAAAAGACAACTAGGAGTTATCCTTATTACTTTAGGGGCAGTTGAGCCAGCTGCTGCTAATGACAGCTATTGTGCCGGCCCTGGTGACCCTTTAAGGGTCACAGTTGGAGAGAAGGTACACATCTCTATCCTCAGTTTATCATCCCACACATGTCAGGGTGCCAACCAGGACCTACATTTAGCACTTCAGGGCTGCCTGGACCCCTTTTCTACTCAGAGAGATGGCTGGCATACAACCACCTCTCGGGAATGCTGCTGCCACCGCGTGAGGATACTTCATTGAACTCTCACATCTTGTGTTTGGCTTGTATCAGAAGAAACTCATAAATAACTCCTGTTGGTTTTATTAACCATCTTTCTGGCCTAACAATGTTGTCAATTTGCAAAGTGTGCCAGGACTATAAATGCTAATGGCCTGAGCAGACTAGGTTGGCCAAAGTAGATTGTATAAAAGGAGAGCTGGTTGTGGAAGTATTTCCCCTAAGTGAACGCCCTTGGGCCTGACCTTTGAAGCCAGAGCAGCCTACCACCTAGGCAGCCAAAATAACAAGTCCCTTCTATCAGTTCTTCGGAGAAAGGTACAGCAGTGCCGAGTCACCAGGGGCATGCGGGTGGATGACAGACAAAGATGCAGTGACACTGGGGACCTCATCCTCAGAGTGACCTTGCTGGAGTTTAGACATCAGGGCAAGATGGAGATGGGCTGTGTAGGTATTGAGAATAGAAGGGGGGCAGAACATTTCCCACATCCTAAGAATTCCAGAACACCAGGGAAGGATGAAGGAAAGCATCTGAGATAGACTTCTCCTCTACCCAAAGAGGTAGACCCTAACCAAGCAAAACAAACCCAAACCCCCAGCCATGTTAATCACCGGGGACTGTTGTTTATAGGTTTCCTACAGCCACAGGCTCACCAAACAAAGGTACTTCATCTGTAATTTTGAGTCTTTTACTGGGAAGGTAATATTTAGTTCCTTGTCTAACTTTCTAGAGACACATTCGGATTTCCTTGGCTCTCCAAGATTACCCTTTGCTTGGGGTTGCTTGTTGCCGAAACAGCCAATCTCCCCCTCGCAACTATAAACTGAGGCAAACTATGACCCCTGGGGCCAAACCAAACCTGATGCTCAGTTGTGTAAATATGCTTGTGTTGGAATGTGGCCACACCCGCTCATTTATCTTTGACTTTGGCTGCATTTGCACCATAAGGGCAGAATGAGTAGGGGAGCCAGTGACCATGATGCCCACAAAGTCAAAGAATATTCATTATGTGGCCTCTTACAGAAAAGATTACCCAACATCTGCCTCAAACCCCACCTATCCAATTTAGTTGTTGCCTTCTTCGTGTTAATTTTTTTTTTTTGGCCACACAAAGTGAGTTTCTTTCAAAATTTCTATTCACTGTTTCATG